TGAACCAAAAAAAAAATTCCATTGATGGAAATGGATATAAATAGCCATATATATAATATATATGTATGTATGTATGTATTCAAGAAAAAGCCATGTTGTATTCTTTTATTTGAAATTTATTAATCTATTGATTTGACTCAACAATTGACAAATGATTGTGTAGGAGTACAACGCTCCCTTCATTCTTATTATACATCATTTTCAGTTAATTCATGGAAAATGCGAAATTAGTTTAAATTCTTAAAATTACCACGTCATTTCAAAAATACCCTCATAATCCCTCTCTTTCAATTCTACTCGTTTATCTTAACACTTTTTTCCCACCATAATTATCTAGCAATATCCATGCCAAAAGGCAAAAATGCTATTGAAAAAAAAATATCACTTGTTTTACAGATTTTGCAGAAATACTAATTATATAAGAACATATATATTTCTAAAAGATGGCTCGTAAATAAGAATGGAAGTATATTACATACATATATTGGTGCACGAATGTTTGCTTATCGTTGATAACACACATAAACGGATAAGTATTAGCTCGACCCCTTAATGAATGATTGATTTAAATTCAAGCTTCTATTGGGACCAAAATGGCCTAGCTGATAGGGTGAGCATTCAATCAGTTCGATTTCAATTTCTTTAAAGCTGATTGACTAAATTATATAATAAATTTGGATCAAATCGAATTGAATATATGATCAAATTGAAGTAAAATTGAACCAATTATAATGGTTCAATTCAATCAATATATTTGGTTCATGGGCTTTGATTTGGTTTATGGAATCTAATTATTCATACATTTTTTTATCCAATTTTTTTCTTGATGTTGAAGGCCCAACCAAAAAGTAGCAATTTTATACCATAATTCATGAGAAAGTTAATAAATCTCAGTACTATTGCATTAAAAACTAAGTTATAAAAATAAAAAATAACTATCACATTAAACAAAAAAATACTACTATTGTAAGTGGTAGAAAGATATTTCTTAGATGAGAATTTATTCATATTTTCAAAAATATGAAAATATATATATATATATATATATATAAATTCGATTGATTTGGTTTATTTGATTCAAGAATTTCTAGACTGAATCGAACTGATCAACCAAAATTTTTAAAAAAAAATCAAATCGAACCAAAATATCAAATGGACTGAATCAAATAATATTTGATTCGATTTAATTTTTGGTTTTAATTTAGTTTTGCTCACCCCTATTGGATGGGAAGAGATATCTAAAATGATTTTATTTTTGTTGGTATTTAGATGGACTTGAAATCAAATCATGGTGCTTAAATGAAACCTAATTATTGTTTGTGGCATAAGGACCAATATTAATCTCTAATTAATTAATTAATTTGAATGATATGTAACCAAAGAAGAATAAATACAATGAACTGAAGTTGGTGTGTTTGACTCCTGAGCTTTCAGTGTCAAGTGATGAGAAAGTTTCCACACACACTGGGGCACATGCTTCTCCAAGCAATATATTCCTTTCTGGCGTGAAACTTAAACAATGCAATCATTCACACATCACCCACACTATTGCTTTCACTTTCTGTTTCTTCACCCTTTTATTATTGCTTCACTTTTCATTCCTCTTTTTATAACATTTTTTTCTTTTATTAATTAATTTTTCCTACACTATATATGTATATATGTTTGGTCACGTACAATATAATGCACATCCAATCCCATTCCTTTAAGGATTATCGCTAATTCTTATGGCTTTTCGGAATGTGAATTCATGTTCATTTGGATGGAATGATGCTACTCCAAATAGTTTTTAATGTAAGATAAACTTTCAATTTTTTTTATCTTTAATATAAAGTTATGTTAGAGTAATTAATTTTTTTTAATATATTTTATCCTTTATTTATTTATTATCATTTGAATTCATAAACAATAAGTTATTATAGTTATTAATTGTAAAGAAGGACCAACTTCAAAAGTTATGTATTTTTTAACAATGTTAATAATATAACTATCATTTTTTAATAATTACAAAGTTAGTTGAATTTACTTTAAATTAAGGACCGAAAGGAGTAAGTGGGAACGGGATGTTAAATTACTGTTTTTCAACTTTATGATTTGATGCATTGAATTACAAAATATATGTTCGATGAAAAACATTTGACTATAAGAATTATTGTATTTATCTTTTATGGGTACTTAAAATTATATTGTTTCAATTATTAAACATTTATTTTTTATCAAATAATTTTTACTAATTAAAAAACATTAAGGATATTAAATCATCCTTGCATTATATTTTTTGTTTTATTTTTATTTGACCAAATTATATAAATAGAAAATAGAAAATTTATTTCTTTAATTAATTATTACACGTCATTAAAACTTATTTTCATTTCTACTTCCGTCATATAAAAAAAAATATTTCATTTCAGTACTATATCAGCAACCGAATGTGGAGTTAAATCATGCACGTACGTCCAAAATTATAATAAGAGAATGATTTTCTTACCGCGTTGGAATCACTTGTACACTAGCTAGCTAGTTGATCATTGATGTCACACACACACACACACAGAGTACTTATGTGGACAACAGACAAGGATTGAAATGAGAATGAAATATGGGCGATTAATTAAGTGGCTGAAAATCCCATTTCATATGATGGAATAATATTTTTCTTCTAATTTTTTTGCCACAATTTGTTCTTCTAATTTAATTTATTACGGCAAAAACATATTTCCATCACAAGACTGCACACATTAAAATCGACCTGATCTTTCTTCTTTTTTTTTATTACATATTTTTCTATTTGTCTCCAATTTTTAAAAATTATTTAGCGTTTTAATATTATTAAATTAGATTCTTAGATATAAAGCAAGCTCTTTTATTTTATTTTTCAAAAGAATGGCAGTTAAAGACCCTTTAAAAAATTATTATAAAATGAAGATCTATTTATATCTGAAATTTTAAAATTTACAACTCAAATTTTTTATATTTACAATTTAAAAGCCATCATTTTATATTAATTTTTTACAATTTTTTTTAATTATTATTCTCACATTATTTTTATTAACAATATTTGAATCCGTAGTCATGCTTAGGGGCATTGAGTTTTCAGATTCAATTATTATTGGTCTATATTTATTTAATTTATTTTTTCATTACCTCACTTTTGATTAATTACAAGAAAACGTTCTTTATTCGCCGTCTGCTTTAAAAATGTGAAACATAACATGAAACGAGTAATTCGTGGTTTTGAGTTAATTAATCCATTTCCTTATACTTTCGACATGCTATTATTTTCAAAGACTTTTTTAGATGTTAATATTAAATTTTAAATTGAATATATTATACGCATACATTCATATATATATATATATAAAATATGACAAATCATGTAAATTTTTTTTTTCTCACTTATTTGCCTATTATTGGTTAACGTGAGTCAGTGGAGGGCCATATGGATTGCACGTGAGATAAGATAACAGAAAGTAATGTATCAAACGACAAGATGAGAATTTGCAACGCGTTTTTTGGGTAACGAGAAAAAAACAATAAAAGGCTAATTTTTTTGGACGCGAATAAAATAAAAGGTTAATGACGACATTAAAAAAAAGGAAAGAGATTAACAATAAATAAAAGCTAAACAAAGCGCGTTAATTTTACTTAACGAGATGATTGCAATGTTTCATCTACCATGTCCTTTTTTGCGCCCTCTCAATCAAAAAGAAATGTTCCCTCACTTATTGCCTCGTCTTTTAGTAATTTTCATCAAATAACAATAGTACTATTTGTCTGACTAAATATATAAATCATTTAAAGTAAAAAAGCTGGTAAATATAAAAGAAAAAATATCAGAAACTAATTAGCCACATTGAAATCCTAATTATTTTCCACCACACAAAAAAAAAAAAGAAAAGTCAATCATGTGGTTCCCTTGAGCCGTCTTCTTTTCACATATATATCAAGTTTCCCACACTGTATGTGTTAGAATATTTTTATTAACTTTGCAAAAATATACAAACGACGATGATTGGAAAAGAGATAAAAATTATAAACATAATAATATATAGATTTCACATACAATCATATTTTATCACTTCTTAAAAAATTACTTAAATATATGGATGTGAGAGCACCCATGTGATACATTCTATTTTGTACTTGAATAAAAATAATTTTTCATTGCTGGTTTCAATATATTCCATAACACACACACACATCCAATGTATTTTCATTGGTTACATGTTAAGGGTCAAATCATCAACTTGTTCTTTAATTGTCAACTTCTGTGGTTTTTTTCTTTGTCATAATACCTAACAAGTCGTGTGCTTTGTTTATATTAGCCTGAATTTAAGAACGAGTTAATTAATGACTGGCATATATAAATCTTCCTTTTTTTTTTATAACCGGAAATATATAAATCTTCTATGGATTGATATTATGATTAAGCTTTCACACACACACAGGGCATGTAGCTAAAATCATATATATATATATATATATATTACCATTTATCATTCACACAGTTAATTTTACAGTTGAATCATTTCACAAGAATCTAAATCGTTTGGTCTTAACGCTGAAAACAAAATTAAACCAAAAAATGAAAAAGAAAAAGAATTGTCAATTATCACAGTTGTTCTGACAAGAAATGCAAAAGGTGTCAAGGCATTGCTGACTCAAACTAAACCTGCTTTATTTTTCTTGGTCGATCCTCTTTTTTTCCTCTCTTGAAAATCATTGCATCTCAGTAAAGACCCATCAATTTTTTTTTTTTCCTTTTCATTGAATTATTTTTCCACCTGCCTTTATTTTTTCTATCTAATATAGTATTAAAAATCAAGTCAACTCAACATATTAATATGATAAATTGTTAAATCAATATCTTGATCGTTTCACTAAAATATTTTGCTCATAATCAATTTGATCATCATTCAATTGTGATTTTGATTTTTAGCCTTTGATCAGTTTAATTTTTAGCGCCTTGCAATTTTGTTTGCTGAACTTTTCAAAAGTTTGGCTCTCAAGAAGACTAATATGAATTGGCACAAAGCAACATGACCGTCATCTATGTCTACCGCATAACTAATTGATAGTATATATATCTTTATTGGAAATTAACTCGCTATAATATATATAATTTTTCCATTAAATTAGTCTCTCTATTGATCATGATACTAAATATAAAATATAGCCTAAGAAACAAATATAATTTTTCAGTTCATGTCCAAAGTGGCTCCCAAGCCCAAGCCGAGCCGAAGTTGTTCATGTTGTTGTCGTCTAAGAAGCAGTTCATATCTTCGTGCTGCGGCGGCTGAGCCAACTGAGCCGCCATCGTGGAGTGGGGCTCGTCAGGGTGAGATTGGCTCATTTCCATGCAAATAAGAGCCACCAAGTTGGCCTGCTGGCATTGCATGTTGACCAGCTCGGCTTGAGCCTTAGCTAATTGAGCTTGCAGCTCGCTCACCTGCTTCTGAAGCTGGCATATGGCTCCTGCGCAGCCGTATACTGGGTCCCTTATCCTCGCATTTGCTTCGTACACCATGCTGCTCACCGCATCTGCTCTTTGCGACTCTGGAAGCTCCTGAAAATCCATCCAATTTTCAATTTTAAGAATATAAATATAAACTTTTACAAGTGATTCACAGAATAATCATATGAATTTCAAATCATTCACAGGCTGAAGCTAATTATCTCAAAAATCATGCTCCCTCCTGTCCTTATTATAGAAGGATTTTAGATGTTAATTATATTTATTTGAACTTATTAACTATAAGAGGGAGGGTGAAATATAAATTTGAAATTTTTTTTATTTGAATAGAGACAAAATTAAAATTAAAAATTTATTTTATTTTCAGACGAAATTAATAACTTAATTATTTTTTCTTAATTATAGTTAAATTTTCCTTATAAATTATAACAAAGATTAGAAGGAGTATATGTTTGTCTATAAATAATAATGCTTGCATTGAATTCCATTATAACTAGTGTTAATTATGCACATAATCTGAAAAATGAGTTATATTATTTATTGTTGTAATTATAACAATTTATACCAAAAAAATTTGTTGCGAATGCACTATGGTGAGAATACAGAGGATTTTTCTGTTTTTCTTGTGCTAATGCAGGCACTGTGAAACATAAAAATTGAGGGGTTCAAACGAAATTATAGAGGAGGAGAAGGAATTTCAAGTTTGTTAAGCAGAGTTTGGCATGGAGAGAGAGAGGGGGGAGAGAGAGAGAGAGAGAGAAATTGTGCACTCTATTCAGAGAATTGATGTGTTGGGACGATAGAAAACAGGGCATTATGACTATCAAGTAGGTAAGCCTACTGATGGCTTTTGCTTCTACTTTTGACCAATAATCATGATTTTGTTTCTCTAAAATGTTTAAACTACTGGAAAAATGAGTTCATCAAAAGAGAAAGAAACAAAGATCAGGATTTTTCTGAAACTACTGTTTCTGGAGGAGGAGAATAATTGAGGGTTTTCGAAGAATGCCGTGGAAGAAAGAAGACGACGAAGGGACGTAGAGAGCTATACCTGCAAGAACTTGATGATGTTGCTGGCTCCGAAGACTCGGTGAGCAATGGTGAACTTGAGCGGATCGGTCGGTGGAAAATAGGGGGCCAGCACGCACTTCTCAACACAACGACGGCGGAGGATCTTGCAGGCCGCGCAAGGCGAAACCACCACCGGAGACGGCGGCGATTGTGGTTGTGAAGTTGGAGGCGGAGGAGAGGAGGAGGAAGAGGGAGAAGTGGTGGTCTTGATTTTGTAGTCCATTTGGATTCAGAAGCACAAGAGATTGATACAGAGAGAGAGAGAGAGGAATGCGGAAGAAGAAGAAGAAGATGGTGATGATTAGTGTTAGATCTGCCTACGGGATGTGTGGGTCTTTATATATAGAGTCCCAGGCAATGAGAAATTTTTTTTTTTTTTTCAAAAAATGAAATAAATATTAAATACAAATGAAAATAAAATGGACAGAATTAGGCTCGGTCTTTCTTCTTTGTGAGTGACTTCACACAAACACGTATTCCACAAGTAAACAATGACGCAGTACTCCTTTTTCTTAAATACACACAAGTCAGAGTCTAACCTTGAAAAACAATTAAATTAACTCTTTTCCCTTGGGCTTGAGCCTTCCACGCACACCAAAAGGGAAAAAAAAAAAAATTCTTTTATATGTAATTTTTCGGTATTTTTCCTATAAACTTTGTAATGAAAACTACTTAGATATCTAATATTGCCTTATAGGAATGGATGGCTCCTACAAGGTAATATCTTATTACAAATGTTAAATACTATATTAAATAATCATTTGCTTATTACTTGTTATTTTTGAAAATATTTTGAAATTTCTCAAAAAAATTTAACAACTATGTTAACTTATTTAAAAAGGAGTAAATTCTGATTCGTGCTGCCAACATAATTTTAATTATCTATCAATTTAATTTTCAGTTTGCTTTCCTGAAATTTATCTATTTGTGTACAAAGCCATAGGAAAGTTAAGCTTTTTTTTTGGTACAAAGTTAATGAATATTCATGTACTATTATTAATTTAAAGATATCAAAAACTCTTAAAAAAGTTTTTAAACATTTTTATATTTTATATTTGTTTTTTTTTAATAATCAACGCCACTCCATTTTAATTGATGTTAATCAAATTTACACGGGATGGGTAAGGATGCCCACATTAAAGAAAGTTCATAAGGGTTCATGTACTATTATTGACTTAAAGATATTGGCAGCTCTTGATGAAAAATTGTATGGGTATTTTAGCACCTAAGCCCTTAAAATATAAGTTACATATTTGATATTTAAATTCTTAAATTCATTTACCTTTGATTTTTCAAAACTTGTAAATGTGGAAATTAAAGGTTTAGGACAATAAATTTTCCATACTCTTTCTCAAAACATTTAAGAAAAAAAACTTAACCTCTCTCCAATTTCAGGAAACCAAGCTGAAAATTAAATGAATAGATAAATAAATTTTTCTCATTGCGCATGCATGTTCATTGAATTTTGCAAATCACTTTTTTAAAAAAAAATTGCTACAAGTTAAGAAACAAGTTGTATTGTTTATGACCGAAGAGCAATATAATTTAGAGACTTTTGCACATATATCCCATGTCATAAAATTAAATAAAAAAATAGCTTACCTTTTTTAAATTTTAAAATAATTTTTTTAATATTTAGTTGATACATAATTTATAAAACTGTTCTTTTAAAAGTATAACACTGTAATTTTTGCAACTATTAGAATAGAATCATAATGTAAGAAATCAGGTGAATGAGAGAGAAAAATACAAATTACAGCCACGACAGAAGAAATAAGTAGCGTTAGACCTGTCTAGTTACCCGAGCACGGATGTGTGGATGGGTCTTTATATATACAGTCCCAAGCAATGAGATAAATATTTTTTAAAAAAATGAAATAAATAAAATAGACAGAATTAGGCTCGGTCTTCCTTCTTTGTGAGTGACTTCACACAAGCACGTATTCCATATGTAACAATGCCGTAGTATTCCTTAGCATTGCTTTTTCTTCAATACATTGCTTTTTCTTAAATGCACACAAGTCAGAATCTAAACTTGAAAAACAATTAAATTAACTCTTTTCGCTTGGGCTTGAGCCTTCAACGTACACCAAAAGGAATAAAAAATGTTTTATATATAATTTTTATGACACTATGCTTTTTGTAAATATCACAACAGATTCAAAATGTGATAAATTAGAATAATGAAAGAGATAAATGCGAGCTATAGTCATAAAAAAAATAAGTAGATTGGACTTGAAAACAAAAGAAAATAAAGTAATATGAGCTAGCCACATCCCACAATCACAACAACAAGAGACAAATGCGAGGCAAAGACATCGATGAAACTTGATGGAACAGAGCACCCCGGTAGGGAAATAGGGTTACAAATTTTTTTGTAGATTGTATTTGATCTCTTTTAAGAAAATAATTATATATTTTTTGTATTACTAATATGTAATAATATATCATCAATGATAAATAAATTTATGTTTGATTGTCTGGTTATATTGATATGTAAGAGTATATCAATGATATACTATTATATATCACTTATATACTATCGTAAATCAAAAACATGAAAACAACACAATCATTTATCTAAAACAGATTAAATTAGATTTGCAAAAAAATAGACACCATAGCCTATCAAAGAAAACCAAATAACTAAAATAATAAAATTTGTGAATAATGAGACAATAATATATATTTTCTGTTAGTAATTCAAATAAATTTTATGATCAATGACAACAAATAATAGATTATGAATAAATGATTTATTGATTCAATGAAGATATTACTCAGATAAATGAAGATGATGAAAATTTGATCATAAATAATACTTTTCAACCTCCAAAAGAATAGATTACAAGAAAACTTCAATTCAAATCTTGAATTATGTAATGTAGAATGCAGAATTCGATTATGGAGTTTAGTTTTCAATGTCAAATCTCAACTTCATAATATACCTGAAAAATATAGAGAGGGAGAGAGAAGAAAAACATTAGCGTATAAGACTTCCCTCTTTTGTGATAAAAAAACAATTGTAAATGCACAATTTAATTAGTTAAAGATTAATTATAGGAGATGTATTGTGTTGTAATAATATATTTATTTGAGAATAAAAAAAAATCACATCTAATTAATTTATGAATGAGACTTATTCTAAAATATTTAAAATCTCATCTATAATTTATGAGAATTATATTTTTTTGATGTCATTGAACTAATTTACTCTATAATTTATTGTAATTTTTAAAAATATCTAATTTATTTAATAACTGCAAGCTATTATGTGATATACAGAAAATCACGAGCCTTTAACTCATAGGAATAAGGTCTTCTGAAACGGATCATTACAGAAATATTATACTCCCTACCCGAGCAAATAGCAATCTACCAAAGATTAAGAAAAGTGATTAATACAATTAAAATAATTAAATTTATCACTAATTAATACTTCCAATCTTAAATATAAGGCCTAGTTAACTAATTTATAGAGATTAAAAAATTGATTAAGTTGATTATTTGTCATTATTGTGTAAAAAATGTGTGTCACTCTTTCTAAAATACTGAAGATGAGTTATTCAGGGTATTATTGAAAGGAAAAAATTATTCCTTTTAATCAAATCTCGCCTTAATGAAGCAGTCAACTATATTTAAATTAATATCATATTCTTGTATTTATTCTTATTTAATAGAATATTTTACTTAAAAATAAATATAAAATAATTTATTTATTAAAAACAATTTTGGAAAACCCATATTAATTATATTTTAAAATATTAAAAATATTTTACATTTTTTTAACATTTAATCCTTCATAAAATGTTTTACATTTTTGTACATTATTTCAGACATCTGAATAGGTGACTTACGGAGTGTTGTACCATCCGCATCTTCCCTCCCATTGGACCAGAAAAAGTTATAATAACTGAATTAGTTAGTAATAATATCCTTTCAATAGTTAATGATATGTTAGATTAATTACACGAATAAAAACTTTTTTTAGTAAAACTCCTTTTTCCCATAAAATGAAAATATTAGAAATTTAGCTTTTTTTTTTTTAACCTACCTAAGAAATTTACCTTGGCATCTTAATGAGATGAGGTTATTAATGGCATAATTAAGATGAAATGTGAAGGAATATAATGATAATTTCCTGGTTAGTTACCAAGTTATCTTCGTTGAAACAATAATGATAATGGTAAATGTGAAAATAATGATCATAAGTTGATAGTGATATGTTAAACAATAATGATCTATAATAATAGTGGAATATTCGTGATCATAATAATGGGTAAAAAAATTAACAGTGACGGAGCTGCTGGTGAGTGGTGACAATGGAAGGTAAAAAGGCGAAATAATATTTTATCCCAGTGCATTTGAGAAGATAATAAAACATGTTTAATATATATATATATATATAGATATAGTATTTTATCAATATAATGTGTTTTAATCAGCGGGCAGTTTTTTACTGCTAATTCATGTTGAAAGTGTGCTAAGATTTCATTTTTTATACGTTAATTGGGAAAAATATATTTACAAGTCCTGATAATTTTTTTTAATTTTGAATTAGGTCTCTACAATTTATTTTGTTTTGATTGAGCCCTTACAATTTGATCAATTAATTTTTTTAACCTCTAAAAATTAAAATCCTTGAATTTTTTCTTTAAAAAATTATTAAATTATTATATAATTTTAGAATTAATTAACTAATTTTTATAACTCAAAATTTATGTAATTGGGTTATCTTTTATAGAATTTTGATAAAAAGTTAATAAAAATTTAAACAATGCATTGAATCAAATTTTCTATTTTTGATTTTGGCTAAAAGTGTTAAATTAAATTTTCTACGAACTCTAAAATTATTTTTGTTTGAAAAATTTAATAAGTCATTATTAATTTTAACCTTTAAGAATTAACATATTTAATAAATCAAACTATATAAGGGCTTGATTAAAATAAAATGAATTACAGAGATCTAATTAAAAATTGAGGAAAACTCTGAGGACATGCAAATTAATTCCTCCAAAAATCCCTATGAATTACTATCCTTACTACTGATCAACACGTAGGAACTTGAAAATAATGTGAATGCATGAAAAGTCTTAACCGCGTTTGGTAATTAGGCATGTTACAAAGTTGGGAAAAAAGTGTTATATCTGTAACATTAAATTTGTAAAAGTATTTTAATTTTTGTTTTTTTTTTGATGAAATGTAAAAGAATTTTTAGTACTCACTCTTGTCCTAATTATAAGATGTTTTTTCTAAATGAATTTTTCTTTATAATATTTGATATTATGTATTATCTAATAGTC